AATTACATCTTAATTTTGATTTAATTTTATCAAATGAACAGTCAATTTTATCATATACCTATCTATACATACATATTATAGTAAGATCAATTATGATATAATATTCAAATTTTGAGTTAATAAAGTATTATACACAATTGATTAGGACTCAGACAATCGGGCAATAATATCAATTTATTATGACTAATCAAATTCAGAATCGAATCGGATTTATATTAAAATTTAATCTATTTATATACCTAAGTTTTTAAAGTCTGAAAGATTCTCATTTCATTTTTCATATATGAAACTATTCCTAAATTTTTAAACAAGTTTTCAATGGGTGCAAGTTTTCAATAAAGTTTGTAAATTTTACTTAAAATTTTAGAAATTCTACCAAATTTTTTTTTAATTATAATACAGTCTTGTCTTGATTCCGTCAACATAAATTTTAATAATTTCTTGAGACAAGGTAGCCGGTATACGGCACGACACATCAATGACCGTTGACGAAAAAAAAAAAAAAAGCCGCCATTGTGACACAGACCCCCAGCGGGCCCCATCTGCAAGACCTGGTTTGGTTTAGTCCATGTCATGTATATTATAAATTTACGTCAGATTAGGCCATTAATTCTATTTAATTAGAATTTAAATTCCAATTCAAATCGAACCTCGAATTAGAATTCAAATATGTTTGAAATCGAAAACCCGGTAATCCGCTCCTAATATATATACCTTACTTTTAACTTAATTTCATATTGTATTTTTATATATTTTTTTTTGTGTATATAAATATTTTGGAGCAGAGTGCAATTGTATTATATATATATTAGTATATGTAAGTTTGAATTATTAAATATGTTAAGATTTAAATTTGAATAATGGATTCAAAATATTAATTCATACCCGACTAATTCGTTTCGGGTTTTAAGCGAAGTCGGGCGATCAATCGGCCTGTATAGTGGACTTATTGGGCTTTTGTGACTGGGCTTGCTGGAGCCCAGAAATAATGGTCGTGGGCTAGTAACTTTTGAGGTGATTTGTTTTGGGCTCTACCTCAGTTTTGAAGTAATTGTTTGGGTAAATTGCATAAATACCCCCTGAACTATGCTTTTTATTTCAAATTGCATCTTAAAATTTTAATTATTTTAATTTTTATCCACAACTATGTAATTTATTTCAATAAAACAGATTTCGTTAAGATTAACCGTTAATGAGAAAAATTCTATTAAGATTAATCGTTAATTTATCTCATTTATCGATTTATCTTAACGGAATGAATTGATTGAAGGAAATTATATAATTTAGGGAGCAAATTAAAACAATTAAAAATTTAGAGAACAATTTAAAACAAAAATAATAGTTCATAGGAAGAGGAAGTTGTCTATGGTACCTATATATATATATATATATATATATATATATATATATATATATATATATATATATATATATATATATTTTGGTATTGTACCTTCATTTACAACATCTGGGTGCTTTTAGGATTGTTGTGGATGTTTTTATCATTATTGTAGTACTAAAAAAATAATAAAAATAGTTATCACAACAGCGATACAAATAACAAAAAAGTGATAAATCACTCATAAAAGTGATGATTTTTTTTTGTACCAAAAAAAATTATAAAAATAATTAACCCAATAACTCAAAAAAAAATGATAAATTTTTTAGTTGTGAAATGACTCACAAAAATTATGAAAACACCTATTAAAATAGTAAAAGTTGGAGGTAAAATACCAATTTTTTTTTAAAAAAAATGATCCAGTGTATAAGACTTTTATTACCGAAAGTTTAGGGGTTAAATATATGCCAATCTTACCCTTTCATGTGGCAAGTTTATTTCTATGCCTCAATCCTTTAATGTTCAAATCACAATAAAATACTGGTATCGTTGTACAAATACTTACTCTCACCACCTAAAAGGAGACGTGAGAGAGAATATTTATATTTTGGATGGATTCCTTTCCCTCTTTTTGTGGTGCTGGTAGGTTTTTCAATAAATAAAATTTTGATTCAAGTACAATTTGAATAAGACTTTTGATTGATTATTCAAATTTGAATCTATTATGTTATGTTTCAGTGATATAAAATTTAGATATAACAATATGTGGTTCAATTGTATCTCAATCCAATTAAAATTCAGATTGAATCAAATTTTTAAGTCGAATTTTCTATTTGTATTAGATTCGAATTTGAAAGGAAAAAATGAAATTCGTTTAAGGATCCAGATCAAATTTGGATACGAGTTTCTAACTAGATTGGGATTTGGACTAGATTAAACTCGAGAGGTCAATAGGCGGTATTCATTGGAAGCCAAAAGATAAACAAAATTCAAGAAATTATTATGCTCTAATGTATGTTGAGAAAAAAGATTACAAAGGGATGTTATAGGACCGATTATCAATCAAGTCATATCATGTCGTATTTGAATGATGTCATTTATGACTCATATCAAATGTTAGATAATTCTAAATCGATTTGTTTGATTAATGGTTTATGACAATCTGACACTAATTCTAACAATTTCAATTAATATGTCATATTCAAATTGAGAGGTATATGTTGTGAAACAAAAACTCATGACAATGACCCATTTTTCTTTGAACCAAACCTGCCACCAACTTCCATGGGTCCCCCACAATGTAAAAATCACCTCTTAATTAGTTCATAAGCTAGCAAAAATATGTAAAGAGAGAGAATATAATTTGGTAAAGATTCATAACATATCACATCAAAAAAAAAAGTAGCAAATTTTATTTTCCAATACTGATTGAATAATTTTTCATTTTAAAATCAAATAATAATTGTGAAGGATCTACCTCCCCCTTACCGGGGATATACCTTATTCCAAGAGTAATCCTCCCCATTATCGGGGATATCCCGCTCTCCATCAAAGGATTTCGGCTAACTTGCGGATCAAACATCCACAGTAGCTTTTACCTCTGTCCCACACCGAGGAAAGAGTCGTCTCCCCACCCCCATATAAGCCGAAGCACCATATGAGAGCACTTTGGCTTATATGGGGGTGGGGAGACGACTCTTTCCCCGATGTGGGACAGAGGTAAAAGCTACTGTGGACGTTTGATCCGCAGGTTAGCCGAAATTCTTTGATGGAGAGCGGGATATCCCCGATAATGGGGAGGATTGCTCTTAGAATGAGGTATATCCCCGGTAAAGAGGAGGTAGATCCTTCACATAAAAGGCGCTACTTGGGTACTACTCTCATATGGTGCTTCGGCTTATATAGGGATGGGGAGACGACTCTTTCCCCGATGTGGGACAGAGGTAAAGGCTACTGTGGGTGTTTGATCCGCAGGTTAGCCGAAATCCTTTGATGGAGAACGGGATATCCCTGGTAATGGGGAGGATAGCTCTTGGAAGGAGGTATATCCCCGGTAAGGGAGAGGTAGATCCTTCACAATAATTATTCACCGTTGACACAAATCCGAAAGTAAAAGTTAAAACTTATTCAAGAAAAAACAATGTTGCATAATGCTGACTTGATTCATCACTGTCATTAATTTAATTGTGGGTCTCACTATTTATTGGAATCCACTACCCATTCAATAGTTATGATTGATTAAGTCGACAAATCAAGATAATATTTTAAGTCCAATTAAGATTTTCCTTGAAAAACATCAGCAAAAGATTGACAATAGGTTAGGGACATCATTTTAGTCTTCAGTTTGGACCATATTTGGCTGTGCTGATGTTATTTCACTGACTCTAATGGGTGATAAAGACGGGTAAGACTATAATTTCGAAAAATTATTTTTTTATATTAGAAAATAATTTATAATTTTTTTCGGTTATATTACATTTGTTTAGGTCAAGTTATAACAAAATATTTGGGGTCAATCTTACTATTTTTTGTTGTAACGTGATCCCATGTAGCTATAATTTGATCAAAAAACTTGTAACTAAATCTAAAAAAAATTGTAACCTTGGGTGTCTTTCCTCCTTCAATGCATAGTCTTAACCTAAAAAGACATATTTTCATATGGGTATGAAATAAATCCTATAGGAATTTGTTCCTTTCAACTCTTTTAATTCTTATTCATTAGTGGAGAAGAAATCTTTTGCTTCCATGGTTTTAGAAAATACAAATCAAGGAGAAGGATAAAAAAATTTTCGTCAAGGTAGAGATTTGTTGGATAGTGCCTCAATTACCAAGTTTATCGAGGAAAAGATTTTATCCAATTCGATGTGTTTTGATTTCTTTTCTTAGATCATCTAATTGCTTATCATCTAGTGTAGTTCGCAATCATGTTTTCTTCCCTTTTCCACCACCAAGTCGGAAAAATCAGTCTCCCCAAACCAGTTTTGATGCTCAGTTTTGTATTATTTCTCTTCGTGTGAGAACTTTGTGTAACTTCTTTTGCTAATAGTGAACTTTAGCCTTTGCGCTTTGCAGGCAGACTTACACTTTTGAACCGAGCCACCTAAGTTTTCGTGGTGATCTTGTTCATAATATGACGCCAACGACTTTAGAGTCTATACTCCTTTCCTCTTGAGAGTGCACAAATCCATCACTATACTTCAAGGATGCCAAGAAAGACTAAAAGGTATAAAGTCTTAGATACAAGATGGCAAGAGGAAACAAGTAAAGTCACACTTAATATAAGCAATTAATACCTCTTTATACACTTCCTTGCTACACTGTGGAATATGACACAATACTATTTTAAGTAATTAATTCATCCTTATACACTTCCTTCCTAAACTTTGGAATATGACACAATACACAATTTTTCTTTTTACAACGGTCAGTGATGTCCGAATAAGTTTATGTACGCATCTTAACTAATCTCCTCTCAAGTTTGGTTAAAAACAAATCATCTACAATATACACACTCTTTACATATTTAAACTACACGAGATTTATAAATAAGAGTAGAATACGACCCAACAAATTTTTTTTTTTTTCATGTGTTGGGATAAGAAGCCATCATGGCAATGCCACAGAGGCCTTCCTTTGCAGCAACATCTCTTTTCATCCTTACCTAACCATTCTCACTCCAACCTGTGCCCCATGAATTCTTCACAAGCCAGTATTTAGTCCCATCAGTGGTAGTACCATACCCAACTGCCGTGACACCATGGTCAAGCTGTGTGTCACATGTCCCTGTAAAGACACCGCTCGAGTAAAATTGGAAATCATATCCACCAGAATCAATGGCAACAGAGACTGGTTGATTTGCAACTGCTTGCAAATCAACCAATAGAGCTTGCAATTGCTTGCAATAGAGCTTTCTCACTATTAGATGGCACGTCTTCGTACCCAATTATCTTGGCTGCTGGAGTAGCTGACTTCTTGGTATTACAAGTCCGTCCGGTGTATGGGTAATTAGACTTTGTAGTGAGCCCTTTGTTTTGTTTGATGAATTGGAAGGCAGTGTCCATCAAACCACCTTGACAACCTTGATCATCACTTCTAACATCACAGTCCACAAGCTCTTGCTCGGATAGAGATACTAGCTTTCCAGTTGTGAGTTGGGTAATGCCTTCCATAGCTGCCACTGCTGAAAATGACCAGCAACACCCTACAAATCATAGCAACATAAGAAGAAGAACAAGAAACAATTGATTTAAGAACAGTTGGCTTTCTTATGTAACAGCAAGGTACACAAGGTCTCTTTGTTAAACAGCCCTCTACTCCAAAAATTTAACCTGATGGAGAGGGTGTAACTAGGGGCCGAGGGAAGCATGGGCCAGGTTGGGCAAGTGCCCCCCTAAAAAAAAAAATTTACTAGTTAAGTATATATATTATATATTTGTATAATATATTATTTGTGCCCACTTAAAATCCAAGATAAAAATGTTAGGCCTACATTATTTTTTCAAAATAATTAAAAAATTAAACCCATTTAAAACAAAAAAAATTTGAGCACACGATTATCTACCCAAACTTATTAAAAAATCAAAATTTTAACATATTATAATTCACCTAAATCAATTAAAAAAATAAAAATTTTGGCCTAACATTAGGCCGAAGAAATCTATATAGATAGGGCCTATCCAAACAAACCTGAATTGATCTGGACCAACTGATTATCTCATTAGTGAGATGAATGTAGGCAAGGGCGGAGGGACATAGCTACCATACCCACCCTAAAAAAAAAAATTAAAAATTTCACCTTTGTATATGCATGATTTTTTATTAGGTAGTTGGAATTAGGCCGACTTTCATGATGAAAAATCAAAAATATTTGACCATTCTAATAAATTTGAACCAATTAAATCTTGTGCAAAAAAAATAATGGGGACACTTTTCACTTAAAGAAAGGTAAAAATATATTAAAAAGTTGCGACTAGTGATTGAATCTATTTTTTCAATAACTTTCATCTTATACTATTCATAATTGTTTGAAATTATTATAATTTTTTAAATTTGATGCGACTTTGTTTGAAATTGATTACTATTAACTTAATTATTTATATAGAGAGATATTTTCAATAACATTATTAATAACATTATCATACAATAACATTATCGTACAATATTTTCAAAGTATGAAAAGTTATCAAGGTCCACAGTACATGGTTGTAATTAACCTCATTTTCACAAAGGGTTATAATTAGCCTTTTTTTTTAGTATTGTTTTTATAAACTACATATATTGGCGTTTGATCTTTTTGTATTTAATGAATCTTTAAATATGCAATACGATTTAAAAAAAAAAGACATGTACAACAATACTTTTGTTGATTGGAGAAAAAAATTAAATTTTGCTAGTTAAGTGTGCTCACCCTAGGACAAATTTTTGGCTCTATTTCTGGGTGTAACTTAAGTATTTATATTTCAACATGATCGTCCCCTCACGTGTAGGCTAGATTTTAGGTCTAGTACGTGAAAATCTTTTTAATAATTAAGCTGACAACAAGATTCAAATATAGGACGTTATACTCTAATACCATGATAAATAATCATTTACTTCAAAAATTTAAGTTGTTAGAAATAGTATAACTTTAATATTTGTAGTTCAACACCCTTCGCAAGGGATAGTCAAAGAAAGTTACAGTTGGAGAGAGAGAGAGAACATGCATCATGGTGGGAATGAGAGAGAGAGCTAGAAAGGGAAAAAGGGGGAAGAAGTGTAAAGAGAATTGTATCATGTTAAATTCATACCATATTGAATTGGATTCGTATCGTGTTTAAAATTATCACAAGTGGGTAGAAAGAAGTGAGGTGCATGATAACTTTATTTGGCTTTATTTAGCTACCAAAGTCTAAGAAGGGACATCGTTTTAATGAGCCACCAAAGCACAAGTAAAAAATAAGCTTGTTTGTTTTTTTTTTTATGCTATAGAGTGTCCAGATTTATACCAACTACTTCCTCTAACTCAATGATTCCTACCATGACTTAAACTGAATTAGAGCATGAACCTGAGGAACAAGGGTGACTTGGGTTGACGAAGACACATACTTTACTTTACTTAAGCTAGAATTGTACAAAATATTCAAGTACGGAATATCGCTAATTTTTCAAAAACATAACTTGGTTGGTTGTGAATCCACTCATTTATTAGTGTTAATAGATGAAGTTTGCTACTGACCACATTGGCCTTGGTCCTAAACGGGTGTAACCGCGCCTTTTATTCTCCAATCCATGGTAGAAGGCACAGCTGTTACAGTTTCAGACTTGAAATAAGTTGGTTTTAGGGTGGACATCATTTGCGATGATTGCACCTTGTAACCATTTCGAGAAGCTCGAAACTCCATGTTTGTTAGGTCTGCAAAATTGATTAGCACTTAACTTGTATCTCCGGTCCAAATCCGCGTTAAACGCCCCTACGCGTTTCACGTTGTCTTTGAATATTTGAAAACGTCTATCCTTCTCTTCTATGTCTATGTAAACGCACCCATAATGAGCCATCCATTGCTCGTGTCTGTCCGACATGGATTGCTCATCATTGAGAAGGCGAGAGGAAGCTTGAGAAGCCCAAACTCCGAATAGGATGAGCAAGGCTAGGCACAAATATGAGCACTGGTGTATAGAAGCCATGGTACTAAGAAGATTGAAGTGAATTTGTGTATAGCACAATGCCTAAAGGCATGCATGCATGGTTGGGCTTTTATACACAGATTTTGTGTAACTTAATCTTCTCTTGATAATGGTAGATTCCTACGTGCCTTGCAAAATGTTCTGATTTAGAACTCTCCAAGGTAGCACAAATCAGTTAACAGTTATTCTGATTAGTGTGTGTGTGGTGGGTTGGGGGGGGGGGGGGGGGGGGGGGAGAGGGAGGGGGAGGGGCTTATACCTGAACTTCTGTACTCTTGTGAAACAATAGGTCATGGTCAGTATTATTAATTTTTTTTTTGGTGACTGGGAAATCGTCGCACGTATGCGTATCTGAACTTATGATTATAACACAAATTTCGGATAAATGACAGCATTGTAAATTACACACAGGTTAAACTTGGATTTTTTTATTATTCAAAACGCAATTATTCAATACGTTATGAATGGAAGTTATCAATACTTTATGATTACGAGTGTCTAACTCTTGAACATGATTCATTGGCGTGATAGGTTTAAGCAACGACAAAGTGATTGGTTCGAAATTGTCCTCATCCAATCATAGGCAGCAGCTGATTTCATTGCACTTTTACTCGTATGGAGCAATGAAAATGAAAGAACGACCGAAGGAGCAAGATACGGCCAAAAAGTCGGAGATTCCGCGGAACAAACGTAGGCCTGTAGAACGCCATTCACCTAATAAGAAGTGTCTTTCTTGGCGAAGTGAGGAAGCACAGTTGCGTGCCTCTCCATAGTCCACAGGATCATTACTGGAGTAGCAATTGTTGGAGAAGACTACGGTACTGGGAGAAAAAAAAAAATGGGTATCATACCTCCAATTTTTATAGTTTATTGGGTGTTTTTAAAATTTTTATGAGTCATTTTGCAACAAAAAAATTCATAACTTTTATGGGTGTTTTACTTTTATGATAACTTGCAATCAATCCTAATATTCTAGGATCAATCGCAAAGTACCACAAAAATGGTAAAAATATCCACAAAAATTATAAATTGCAATTTGATATCAATTTTATTTTGTGCTTATCGTAGACTACTCCGCAATTGCTAGATGTCTTTATTAAGACTATATCACTTAACACGCTATTAGGATTTAAAGCGATCGTTTTGATGGTTTTAGGTTCCAGCGAACCTTGAACGTATCCGTAAATTTAGACTAGAAGGAGCCAAAAATACATAAACGGGTGGTCTTTTAAGCCTTTAGAAAAACTTAAGAGACGAGCCTATATAATTTGAAAATATTCGTAACTATAAGAATAATAAGAGATTTTTTTTTTTAATGTAGTGGTGGTGATTGCCCCCGGCCAATCCTTCCTAGATATGCATCAATGATTGGAAGAGAGGTTATCTTATTGCATCCTCAAGCTTATGTCTTTTATGCAGTAAGGTTAGCTAATCTTTCTACGTCTCATAAACATGCTATTGGGGGAGTGATTACACAAACAACAAATCCCGAGTTTATGTTGTAGTCACAAATTATTCACGATTCACCTTCATGATTATTCTGTTGAAATATAAATACTAAAGTTATACCATATTTAACAGTTTAAGTTTTTGGAGTAATTGTTTGTTTAGCATGGTATCAAAGCAGAAGATCCTGCATTCAAATCTTACCATCACCCTAATAATTAAAAATATTTTCATGTGCTAAGCCTAAAATTTAGCCTACACGTGAGAGGGAGTGTTGAAATGTAAATATTTAAATTACATCGTTTCAAACAACTTAAAGCTTTTGGAGTAGATGTCTGTTTAATATGATATCAGAACAAGAGGTCATGTGTTTAAATTTTGCTACCACCCTAATTATTAAAAGATTTCCACCTGCTAGATTCAAAAATCTAGCCTATACGTGAGAGGGCATGTTGAAGTAGAAATACTTAATTTTTATCCTTTCAAGCAACTTAAGTTTTTGGAATAGATGATTGTTTAACATGGTATCAGAAGACGAGATCTTGTATTTGAATTCGCCGCCACTCTAATTATTAAAAAATTTATACGTGCTAAGTTCAAACTCTAGCCTACATGTGAATCGGCGTGTTAAAGTATAAATATTTTACACTTCCTCGAAACTTAAGCTTTTGGAGTAAATAACTGTTTAACATGGTATCAAAGCAGGTGCTCATGTGTTCAAATCTCACTGCCACCCTAAAATCTAGTCTACACATGAGAGGGCGTGGTAAAGTATAAATACTTAACTTACACCCTCTCCAACAATTTAAAATTTTAAAATAGATCACTGTTTAACATACTCCTTTATGTTGACATCACTATTTCATCATACTTATGAGGGGATAATAACTTAAAACACATCAATATCACTTGTAATTTCACTTTCATTTGACATCACATTGAGCCCCCTCCACATCAACAAAAAATGTTTGCTTATAGGAGTGATAGTAACTTAAAACACATCAAAATCACATAAAAACTAGTAAACTAAGATTCAATAAGATCCTAAGTATATATATTATTCATCAGAAACATCAAGAATCTTGCATGCTTCTCAGCAAACTTGTATTGAATGAGGATGTCCAAATCACTAGAGTTCCTCATAATGAAGCTACGACCTTTTCTTGCACTAGTAAATGTTATTATATTCTAAGTCACGTAAGCTGGTAAAGCAAAGTCTTATACGTAAACTAGCTCTCCCATAAGTTTGGATCAATATAGAGTTGTCATTATGCAGTGCATTCTAGTGAATGTATTTGATTGGCAAGAAATAAGATTTGTAATTGGTTGTATAATGTCGGGTTGCGTTGTGTGCTATGCCAACGTTGGAGGAGGTGAGACAGGTCGTGTTCTTTATTGATTCAGATAGTCCGCCGGGTCCGGATGGGTTTTGTAGTCGCTTTTATTAATTTTGCTGGGACATTGTGGGAGCAGTTCAGGATTACTTCCGGGGTTTCTCCTATGCCTCGAGGATTCATGAGTACGTTGGTAGTACTTTTACCCAAGAATGAGTCACCTTCTACTTGGGCAGATTTTTGACTGATCAGTTTATGTAACGTGAGCAACAAGGTGTTGACGAAAATCCTCATTTCTTGTTTGTCGTCCTTGTTGGCGCGTATCATATCACCGATGCAGAGTGGGTTTGTGCCGGGTCGAGTGTTGCAGGACAGTGTACTTTTGGCTCAGGAGTTGATTCATGATTTGGGGAGAGGTTCCAGGGGTGGGAACGTGGTGCTGAAGCTAGATATGGCTAAGGCATATGACAGAATGTCTTGGACATTCATTCTCTAGATGTTGCGGGCTTTTGGGTTCTCTGAGGGCTGGATTTCTTTGGTTCGGCAGGCTATCTGGGGGCCGTGGTTTTTTGTGATGGTGAATGGGGTCAGTCAGGGCTTTTTCCAATCGTAGGGGGGGTTATGGCAGGGTGACCCCCTTTCGCCTTGATTATTCATCATTGCTGCAGAGTATCTGTCTCGAGTCTTGGACTCTTTGTATGGTCGGTTTCTGAGGGTGGCTTATAGTACTAGAGTTGGGGTTTCGGTTTTCCATTTGACTTTTGCTGATGACATTATTATTTTTGCTAATGGGTGCCGATCGAGCTTGCAGCGAGTTATGGGTTTTCTTCATCACAATGAGGCTGCCTCTAGTCAGTTAGTTAGTCAGGTCAAGAGCAGTTTCTATATCAGTTCGCGTGCCTCGCATTCTAGATAGGTGATTACACGGCAGACCACTGGTTTTCAGAGGCGTGACTTTTTGTTTATTTATCTGGGATGCCCTATCTACTTGGGTCATCTCTGGATCTCGTACTTTGATGAGATGATTCGGAAGGTACGCGAGCGGATTTCTGAATGGGCGAATCACTTCCTCTCCTTTGGAGGTAAGCTCACTCTAATTCGTCATGTGCTCGCGTTGATGCCTATTCACTTGTTTCACGTATTGAGGCCTCCTGCGGATGTTATTCACCAGTTAGAGAGGTTGTTTACTCGTTTCTTGTGGGGTGATACAGCTACTCATCAAATGATTCACTAGTGTCACTGGGCTGAGGTATGTTTCCTTGTAGATGAGGGCGGCTTAAGGGTACGTTCTTTTTGTGACTTAGCAGAGGCTTGTGAGGTGAAGCTCTGGTGGAGTTTTCATGCTCAACAATCACTTTGGTCCACTTTTATGAGGGCCAAGTATTGTAGGTCCACCCATCTTGGGCTGATTGAGTTTCGTTACCCAGTTTCACCTCTTTGGAGGCGGTTGTGTGGGATTCGATCCATGGCTAAACGGAGGACCAGATGGTTAGTACGGTCTGGTGAGGTCAACTTTTGGTATGATTGTTAGTTGGGAGATTACCCATTGGCTTTACTATATCCGGGGGCCGCTTCTAGAGTTCCTGTTTCTGCTTACTGAACGGGTCGACAGTGGGACAAAGGCCGATTGTTGGGGGTTTTACCTTCTTCAGTTGTTGAGCAGATTGTGTAGATTCCGATTCCAGAGCAGGGGTAGATCAGATGAGGTGGAGGTTGTCTTTGGATGGGGATTTTTCATTGAGGATTGCTTGGGCTGATATTTGGGGTATGGCTCTAGTTCAGGTTGGGTTTTCTTGTGTCTAGCAGAGACATATTCCGACTCAGATCTCCTTCTTTATGTGGCGGTTGTTTCATGTTTCCTGGCCACAGATGATGGCTTAGAGAGACGGGGTTTCCATGTAGTATCCCAGTGTTTGTGTGGTGGGGCTGTTGAGACTCTTAGGCATATTTTTCTAGATTGTCCGCTTGCAATTCAGGTGTGGGGTCATTTTTATCAAATGTTTGGGATTAGATGTTGGCTGTTTCAGTCTCCTTATACTTTGATGCTTCATTGGCGGCGTTGTGCTCCTTCTGCAGGTCACGTGCGGGTACTGCTATCGTGCTTCATTCTGTGGCAGCTATGGAAGGCACATAATGCTTATAGGTTCGATGGCTAGGCCTTTTAGGTGCCCGTTGTGATTCAAAGGGTTATAACCGATATGTAGTTTGTTAGGCTTGCTT